GAGACCCAGGGGCAGGGCCGGACTGGTGAAGTCATCTTGGACATGAACGGACTTCCACGTGGAGAGAAGGGGCCAAAGCGAAGATCTGGGAGGCAGACAGAACTGGGTTCAAATCCTACCTTGGCTCTTCAGTGGCACAGTGATTTGGGACAGGTGACTTCACCTGTCCACAGTTCAGTTTTTCCCTCTGCCAAATGTGGATTGGTAGAATTCCCGTATCATTTATCATCCAAACTAAATAATGCTGAGCGTACAGAAATACACCAGACTCTCCCAGGCAAAGGGAAGGGCGGCAGGGGGCGGGGGGAGGATAGGCGACTCTAGTTAAGTGAGCCTACTGCATGTAAATAATGATTAACACTTAGTGAATGCCTAACCAGGGCTATCTTATTATTTAATTCTTGTAAATGAGAAAGAGGAGGCACAGAGAAGACAAGTACCCTGCCCGAGTAACACCGATCGCTGTTTGTCCTAGTGCTCATGCCTGCAATCTGGGTTCAGGGGCCTGCCCCATGTTGGGGGGCGGGGGGCTCCATAACTTCCTGTCTCTTCCCTGGGGGGCCAGCCCTCCTCCCCTTCTGGGGCTGCAGGAAATGGATCCTTCCCTCCTTGCTTGTCCGTCCCTCACACCCCACCCAAACATGTCAACCTTCAGATTCAGCATCTGGAAGGCAAGTAACAACTTTCCACAGTAAGAGAGAAGACTTTTCCAGGAACAAGCTGGGCCTAGGTGGCAATTGCAAGGAGGGAGGTTAAGTCCAGAATGTACTTTCTGCTGGTCTTCAGTCCAATTCACTTCACTGGGTCCCTGCTCTGGGTCGATCTCAGGAGAAGGGTTTAGAAATGAGTGAGATGTGACCTTGTCTCCAAGGGACTCAGTGTCTTCAGGGAGGTTGGCTAGTGCAAGTTAAGCAAGGCAGCAGCATCAGGAGGTCACCGGGACTCAAAGAGGGCTCTCGATGCACCCCCACCCCGCCAAGACTGGAACTGGCCCCCCCGTTGGATGGGAAGGAGACTCCGATGCATCCATTCTCAGGAGCTACCCTCTTACCTGCACCCCACCCGGGTTCCAGCCTGGCTTCTGTGGGCCTCACTGGGGCCCAAGCCTTTCAGACCCCCCTCTCTGCATTCCCAAGTAACCATAAATTAAGATGAGAAAGAACTTTGTGCTCAAGTCCAAAAATGAAGGTTGCCTTCATAAAGCCCTTAATGGTTTAACAACGTGTTTTTATGTTCATGTCCTGTTTCCATGGCCCAGGGGGGCTCATCCCCACCTTGCCAATGAGGAAACCTGGGAGTCCCATGCCCTAGAAGCAGCATCCACAACATTTGGAGGAAACGGGATGATGGGAAATGCCTGACTCACTGCCAGGGACATCCCGGCACTCACCTTCTACCCCTCCTAGAAATCCAGGCACCTAGATTTTAGAGAAATCTGCAAAAGTTCTCTGACTTTGGTCAAGCTCTTTCTTACCTTTGTGGACCTAGGCTTACTGAGCTTGACTTTTCTATCATTAAGTCATTCAGGTGTTCATCATTCAACAACCACTTTTAAAGCTCTTTTTTCAGGCCTGATACCATCTAGGCACCAGAAATTTAAGTGATGGTCAATTCAGACCCAGACCCTGCACCCTGGTACCTATACTCAGGAAGGCTGATGCTAAGTGAGCAATTACATGGGGCTAAGCACTCAAAAAGAGTAGCCCCGAAGCGGATGACTAAGTCAGACTGGGCATGGGGTTCAGGCATGGCCTCCCTGAGGAAGTGATATTTTAAGCCAAACACTAACAGATGAGCAGAAGGTAGCCTAGTAAAGCTGTGGAGGGGAGAGTTGCCAAGGCAACAACCAGGAGTAAGAGCCCAGAGATGGGAGGACAGAACAAACTCAAGCCTCACTAGAAGTGCAGTCCAAGGCCCAGCAGCTTGGGCATGGCTGGGGAGCCATGAGATGCGCAGAACCTCGGCCCCACCCCTGACCTACTGATAGGAGCTTGAATTTTAACAGCTCCTGGATGATTTGTGTGCACAGTAATGTTGCAGAAGCTGGAGGGGCTGGAACCTAGAGATGGAGGGAGAGAGGCACTCGGGTGAGATTGGAAATTTTGTCAGGGCTGGGTCAAGCGGGACCGCAGAGGCTATGCTAAGGAATTTGGGTTTGAGTCTAAGGGCAATGGGTGGGGCCGTTTTGTTTTTTAACAGAAAGTGACCTGAGCAGGTGCATGTTTAGAAAACTCTAGTTGCCGTGTAGAGAATGGACTTCCAGGGGAGCAGGGCTAGAGATGAGAGGTCAGGAGGTTGTGAGTATAAACCAGGAGAAAAGGCCCCTTCTGATGCCAAGGGTCTATGATGTTGCAGAGTCGAACGTGATCCCTGCCTCCCTCCTTCCCCTCCCTCCACTGCACACCCCAAATGCCAGTGGCCCTGGCAGAGTCTTCTAAGTCTGCTTCCATTGGGAAGGCCTTAGCTCCCTCCTAGACCGAACTCTGGAGGACAGGGTTTTAGAAATTTAAAAATTAAAATAACAAGGCTCAGTGCTATAAAGGTGCAAGGAGGTGGGCAAGCTTATGTACTTCAGGCGGGAACATGAATCAGAACAATTTTTCTGGACGGTAATTGAATAATGTGGGCTTTAAAAATGACCCTGTGTGGCCCTAACTCAAATGCCACAAGTAGGGACTAGAAATAATTCAAACACCAGGATAAACTGTGTTATCATTTGAGTAGCAAAGAATTGGAAACTACCAAACTGTCTCAGGAATAAGAGGTAGCTAATGACCCTCAACCAGAGCTTTTATAGCCTCTAAAAAAAATGAGACATAGAAGATTGTGAAAATGTCATTGAAAGAAAAGGATTAAAAATTACAAATGCAGTGTGGTCTCAACTGCATAGAAAACCGTACATAGACAAAAACGGAAGAAAATACATACAAAATGTGAACTATGATGGAAATGTGGATGAGTATTCTTCTTCCTGCTTTTCTGTATTCTCCAAATGTTCTTTGATAAATGTGTAATACTTTGATAAGAAGAAAAATTTTCAAATTTTCAAAGGAAGTGACCAAGTTCTGCCTCTTGCTCAGGCAGCGCCATGGTCCTGGAAGCAGACATCACCGTAGAAGGACTCAACACAGCCAACGAGACAGGGGTCCCCATCATGGCGCACCCCCCAGCCATCTACAGTGACAACACGCTGCAGCAGTGGCTGGAGGCTGTGCTGGCCTCTTCCCAGAAGGGTAAGGACTCTCTCAGCCCCTCCCCAGCCCTCTGGTCCTCTGCTGAAGCCAGGCCAGTCCCAGGCTCACTGCTCATTGCCTGGGCTTCCCCCGCTCCCCCCCGCCCCCCCGGTTCAAGACACCCAGGCCTAGGGAATTCTGGGTGAGGTGGGGGATGGGAAAGGGCAGGGTACACCACAAAGTGCAGACACGTTCAGATTGTTCCCTCCTGAATCCTCCGGAACTAGGTATAACCTGTTCAAAGCCCAACTCCGCCCTTCCCTCCCGGGTCCCTTTGCCAGTTTTGGTCAGAATCTGGGCATCACCCTCCTGCCTCCCCCTCTGTCATTCACCATGTCCTGCCCCCAGACTCAGCCGCTCTGTCTTCCCTCCACCACCGCTACCACCATGTACATCTGAGTGAGCTTTCCACAAACACCAAATCTGTCACTCCCCTCTTTGGCCCTGCATGGCTCCCCATTTTCCTGGGACAAAGTGTCATCTCCTTGGCCTGGCTTTCAACAGCCGTCTCCAACTTCACAACCTCATCCGCCTGCAGTTCCCCTCGTCGCCATTCACCCCCAGCGCCCAGCTGCCTGAATAGGACAGGCTTTTGTTCACAGGGGCCCCTCCTCCACTTCCATGGCCCTCCTCTACTCAAATGCCTCTTTCTGCAGGCTGAGGAACTTGCACTCAGGCTAAGTTGGCTTAGGATGCTCTAAGCCTACCCTGTCCAAGAACCACAGTCTCTCTTTCTCCGATGCTTGACAACCCCTGTCTGAGCCCTTGGCTGGCCTCAGCTTTCTCCCCCCAGGGGCAGGGGCAGGGCCAGGTCCTTCCTCTGTGGGTGGCTTGGCTTGTTTGAAAGCCCTCTTCACACCCAGATGGAGTCTGGTCCCTGTCTGCCCACCTCCTGCCCCCAATCCTACTGCTCTCTCTGTTCCAGGAAGTCGTGTCTGCTGGTTCCTTCTGCCCTGAGCATGAGGGTCCATTTCCCCAAGCCCTTGGGCCCCTCCCCACAGGTATCAAACTGGACTTCAAGAGCCTCAAGGCTGTGGGCCCCTCGCTGGACCTCCTGCGGCGGCTGACAGAGGACGGGAGAGTGAGGAGGCCTGTGTGGATCAATGCGGACATCCTGAGGGGCCCCAATGTGCCCATCTCAATCGAGGTCAATGCCACACGGTGAGTGTTCACTTCTCTGCCCCAGCTGTGTCCAGCTCTCTTCCTTCACCATCCAGCACAGAAACTGCTCGGGGCACCTTTGCTGAGTTTACCTCCAGCCATACCATATAACCTGACCTCTGAGCCTTTGCACATGCTGTTCCCTTTGCCTCGAATGCCTTGCCCAAATTTCCTGATGAACCTTTGCCCAGTCGTTACCTCCTCCCAAATCTACCCTGACATCCCAGGCTGCTGAGAGCCTTCAACACGTCCTCCTAACACAACCCTGATTTCACTGGGCTATCACTGCCAGATTACCGGTTTATAGCCCCTACTCCACAGTGGACTCCTGGAAGGCAGACAGGGCCCAGTCCTTTCTGTGTCCCCAGGGACCAAGGCAGGGCTTGGCCTGCTAGAGAAAAGTCTGAAAGTGCTAACTCCTTCCCCCGCCCCCCCTGAAATCCCAGCACTGCCACCAATTCCCTCCACTTAGACCAGCCGCACATAACAACAGACGAAGGGCCACACAGGAGGACAAGGTGCGTCCAGTTTGACCCTCACCTAGCAGTGCTGGGTTGGGAGCATCTCCCCCCATGTTGCAGACGAGAAAGCTGATAGTAATCGAGATTCAATTTATTGAATGTTTATTATGTGCCCAGGCACTGTTTCAGAAAGTGCGTTAGTTATCAAGAGAATGAGGTAGGTATTATTATATTTTCATTTTATTAATACAGGAACTATCTCATCGAGGTTACACGACTGGCCTAGGTCTAAAAATTGCAAAGATTCAAAGCCAGGCCTTCCTGATTCTAGTCATCCATCTCTCCATCCATCCATCCAGTATTTATTGTGATTCTCAAACTGAGGTGCATTTGGAAAGCAGCCATTAGAAAAATACGTAATCAGTGGCCCAAGATAAATAATGGCTCATCTTCTTAGAGTGTTGATTTTACTCAATAGTTTGGGGAGGAGGAGAGGGTAATATGATTCCTCTGTTAAAGTTTCTTTCAAGGGAAAATTTACATGGAATTTAAAAATCTGAAGCTTCAGAGACAAGTGGCCGAGTCTAGATCCCCCTATCTGGGGCCCTGGCTTGTCTCCCCTGTCCAAATGGGGATGCTGAAGAGGCCCTGCCCTACCAGAAGGGATGACATCTTTGAGAATCAAAGAGGTTGAATTGAGCTGCCCAAGGTTATAGAGTCCAGGACCTGAACCCAGAACTCCCTGACTCCAAAGTCCATGCCCCATTTGTAGGACCTTAAGTCACTTCTGTTCTTTAGGACTCAGCTTCGGTCCTTATACTCTACATTTAACAGGACTTGCCACTTCCTAGCCCAGTGATGGGAACCCAGGAGATGAGGAAGGGGCCAGCAAGGCTCTCAAAGACCAGTGTCTCTGATTCTCCGCAGGTTCCTGGCCTTGGTCCAGGAGAAGTATCCTGAGGCCACCCTGTCTCCAGGCTGGACCACCCTCTATGTGCCCCTGTTCCTGAACAGGACATACACCCGAGCCATGGTGGAGAGGATGCAGGAGCTGGTGGGCACACTGCCACAGAGGGTCACCTTCCCCGTGCGGGCTGTCATGGTACGGGCTGCCTGGCCCCACTTCAGCTGGCTGCTGGGCCAATCGAAGAGGTGAAAACTCCCAGGCCCCTGCCACAGCCCCTGATCCACCTGACCCACCCCCCGGGCACTGTTACTCCCTGGGGAGATCCCAGCCACTTAACCATATCTGTCCAATACCCACTGGTGCTCACATCCTCTACAGCATCCCTGCTCTCTGCTTGTATACCTCTGGTGATGGGCTGCTCACTACCACCCAAGGCAGCCAGTCCATTAGTGGATAACTTGACCTAGTGGCAAGTCTTCCTCCCATGGGAGCCAGCTGTGCCCAGGATTGTCTTCTAGGGATTGAGGGACTCCCAACTGCCCAGTCCCACCTTCCTCGGCCACTTCCCACAGGAGTTCCAGGGCTGTCCCCTTCCCCCTCCACACCTAACTTCTTCCCCACTGCCTGTACCCATCGCTTTCTGTCCTTGTCCTGTTCCTGTTCCTAAGACAGAACCAGAAATAGATACTCCCAGTGAGGAGGCAGGGCGGGCCAGCGCCTCCTGCTCAGCTTCTTTACTTTTCCTTCCTGAAGCCCCTGTGACTTCTTCTGCCCTTGGGAAGGGGGGCAGTTCTCAGGGAGAAGGGGCTGGTGGGAAGCTGGAGGCCAGGTACTCTATCCCTGCCCAGCTAGGGTCCCGTTCTGAGCACAAGAGTGGGACTGAGGACCTTGTTGGGCCCAGGCAGGTGCTGAGCTTGGTCTCTGGGCCCCAGGTACAGCCTGACGCTGTGGCAGGGTGCCTCGGACCCCGTGTCGGTGGATGATCTCCTCTATGTCCGAGACAACAGCGCTTCCCACCAAGTCTACTATGACCTCTTTGAGCCTCTCCTGTCACAGTTCAAGCGACTGGCCGGTAGGAGGGGTGTGGGGCGGCCAGGGAAGCTGGTAGGGCGGATTCTGCGGGCAGCATTTGGTGGACAGTGGAGCAGAGCTGGAGGGGTGAGGCATCAGAAGGGAAAATTCTGGGTGGAATCGGGTCAAAGAATGCTTTTAAGCGCCTACTGTATGCCAGACGTGGGTATGGTATGCTATGTAAGCCTCAAATATCCAGGAAGCAGTGATTCCATTCTATAGATAGGGAAACTGAGGTTCAGACCAGTAAAATAATCTACACCAAGTCATTCCCTTGTACATAGCACAGCTTAGATTGGAACCCAGCAAATTCCAAACCCCATGTGCGTTTCCCTTACAGCGTAGTTCCTCAGAGACCGCCCCCCCCCACACACACACCAATGTACCTACTAATCAAAGACCCAGATACTACCCGTTTGCTTGTCCAGACCCCTCATTCCCTTGACCCTGGACCTAGGAGAGCCTGCAGTTAAGCCATCTCAAAGGGAACCCATGAGACTCAACATTCCTACCATGGGAGCCATGCCGGTGCGGGGAGAGGGAGTTCCAGCTTTGGGGCTGGCAGACTTGGTTGCATCAGGTTCTAACCCCGGGTGGCTGTGGGACCTTGGGGAATCCCTCCTTGTAATCTCTGATGGGAGTACGTCTGCCTGGAAGGGTGCTGTGAGTCTGAGAGAGACTGTGTGTAGACACAGGACTCAGAGAAGGGGCTCCGTGAATGGTGGCCAGTGCATCTTGACAATTTGGGGCCCCACAGCGAATGCCACACGGAAGCGCATTTACTACACGGGAGGCAGCCTGATCCCTCTCCTCCAGCCCCCTGGGGGGGACGGTCTGAGTGTGGAGTGGCTGGTTCCTGACCTCCAGGGCAACAGAAGAACAGCAACAGTCAGCCTCCCAGGTAAGGCCTGCCTTCAGCCCCTGTGCTCCTAGCTAAACTGGGGGGGAAGAGGGGGGATTCCTTTGCTCGGGGCAGGAAGCTAAGGCCTCTGTTACTGCGGCAATGTGCTGGACGCCATGGTGGCCGAGTGCAGTGGTATCGGGCAGGGGCCCCTAACCGTCAGTGCCCTTGAGCCCTGAGCCCTATCTACTGCAGGACAGGCAGGCCCAGGCCCCAGGACCAAGCCCCAGTCAAAGGCCAAGAGCCGAGCTAGCAGCTGATCATGTCGTTCAGGTGGTCGGATGAGCCTCAGGCACATTTATAAAGCAGCCTTTCCACCTGGAGCCCGGACCCTCGACAGATCTCAGCAGACGGGGCACCAGCTTCTCCTTGGCTGCCCCCCCCCCATTGCCACCCCTTTAACAGGGCCTCTGACAGCCCACCATCACCCGAACTCCTGACACTTCGCCGCCTGCGTCCACTGCCTCTTTCAGACGGAGAAGGCATGATCCTGCTGACCGTTGGCCTCCAGGGGCCTGCAGCCAAGGACGCCGTGCCCGTCATACGCGCCCCGGGAGGTCCCGCCCCGACGCTGGAGTCCTGCCTCCTGCAGCTTGCCGGGCGGCCCGGGCGCTGGGGTGTCCATCTGCTCATAGCAGAGCCCTCAGCCCTCCGGCCGGCCCTGGCCACGCTGGCCCGCCTGTCTGCCCTGGGCCACCTGCCTCGGCCTGTGTGGATCGGGGCCACGGTCTCCCATGGCAGCTTTGCGGCCCCTGGCCACGTGGCCGGCAGGGAGCTGCTGACAACTGTGGCTGAGGTGTTCCCCCACGTGACGGTGGCGCCAGGCTGGCCTGAGGAGGCGCTGGGTGGTGGCTACAGGGACCAGCTGCTTGCGGATATGCTGGAGCTATGCCGGGGTCTCTGGCAACCTGTGTCCTTCCAGCTGCAGGCCAGGCTCTTGGGCCCGAACCCGGCTGGGATGGTGGCCAGGCTGTTGGCGGCCTCCCCCCGGGCCACTGTCACGGTGGAGCACCGTCCTGAGGGGGACGACTATGCATCCGTGCGGGCGGGGCTGCTGGGAGCCAGGGCTGTGGACAGGACCCGAGTCTACTACCGGCTGCCCCCGAGTTACCGCGAAGACTTGCTGGCAGATGCTGGAGGGAACTGAGCACCCATGGGTGCTGGGCCGGTGGGCCCCTGGCTCCAGGCTTCCCACGGGGGAGGCAGCAAGGAATAAATGCCCCTGCCTGCCTCAGTGCGCTGCATGTGTGTCCCTGGGGGCAGGATGGAGGGGGAGTGGGTGTGCAGTGGCCACTGCCGGGGGCTTAGAGGGTCTGCAGGCTGGGGGCCAGATCATTCCGGTTGTCCAACAGGAACTGCTCACAAGCCTTGAACGTGGTGTAGAACTCTGAGGAGAGACCAGCCACGTTGGTGGTCACGTAGTTGAGAAAGCCCGGGGTAGCCTGGTTGTAGTAGGACACCTGCAGGATGGGAAGGAAGCCACATTCAGGGATCCGGGCAGGGGGAGGGGGCGGGGAGCCCGTGGGCATGAGCCAGGTGGGAAGGGCAGCAGATCCAAGCCAGCACCCTGGGGCCCTAGAAGATGACGTGGTGTGACCCCTCTTCTGGGGGCTGACAACCCCGCTTCCCTCAGTCGCCACACACAGTTCAGATGGGGGAGGTTCTGGAGGACGGCTGGGTCCCCACAGCCCAGCACGTACAAATGGTGCTCTAGGGTCATGGAAGCAAGTTAGAAATAAGCTCGGGGACTGTGCTGAAAAGTCCGAGGTCAGTGTATTGTAAGTTAGCGAACACCAGCCTCATCCCTACCTGGGCCCTGAGGCGGGGAGCTGCAGTAACCCCCCCCCCCCACTCGGCCTCCTCCCCCACAGTTTCAATTAGCACTGACTGCCCTGCTGAGTTTTATGGGCCCTGAGAGCCATATAAAGCCTTCCCAGACAAGAGAGGTATACAAGTAAAGAGATGAATTTTAGGTCAGAACCCAGGCCTCTGCCCTCAGCATCCAGAGCTTTTTCCAAAACCCTACTGTCTTATCTCTGCACAGATCTTATGTCTTCAGCCGCTAACACTCTTAGGCTCCCCCGAGCTAGAAGAGAGCCTGCAGGTGGGGCCCAGGTATGGAGCTGAGCCCACAGCACAGAGCTCTGGACATGCATGTGGCTTTGGGGGGACCTGGGGGAGTGGTAAGGGAACACCGGCCTCACCTTGGTCAGCTGGTCCCCCTCTCTCCAGAAGCAGAAACCCGAGCAGAGGGTCTCCCCGCGCCTATATGCTGGCGTCTCGGGGTGTGTGGGCAGCGTAACTGACCGCATCGCGATGACATAGGGGTCCCTGGAAACGAGCAAGGGCGGACAAGGGCACAGGAGGAGAAGGTGAGGGCCTGTTTCCGCCCAGTTCAGGCCCCGGAGCCCCCTCCGCACAGACCCCCTCACCAGACTCTGAGCCACATAAACTCTTAAAAGGCCCGACAGCTGGCTCTGGGCCAGGCTAGAGAGAGGACGTGCTTGTGCGTTAGCAGCCCTGAATTTGCCAGGAGCCAGCGTGGTTTCATTGCAGATTTTCTGGAAAAGCCCCTCCACTGCAGATGCTCAAAGGAGTCTCACGCTTTGGGATTTCACGCTTCACTTTTCTGTGCTTGTCTCCAGCAGAAGTGATACGGTGCGTCCTGGCGAGCTGGCGGCCTTATCCCTCTTCAGTCAACGTGGGGCCTTCAGAGGGTGGAGGCCAAGGAGGTGGCCACGTGAGCAAGGGCCTGCCATGCCTGGGGTGAGGCAGCCTTGCCACCCCAGGGACGGAGACCACCCTGCCTTAGAGCACACGTGACCAGAGGCGAGATGTGTCCCCTCGTCCTCCATTTTACCCACAGCAAGGCCAGGGCAGCCCCTAAAAGCCAAGCGGTGCCTGGAGTCCCACACAGCAAACAGAGCGCTGAGTCTAAGCTGATGACCCCTCCTGCCCGCATCCCGCCTCCGCAGGCCGGCACCTACCCGTTGTCACAAGGTTTCCGCCGAGAGGCCAGGATCACAAAGTCCTGGGGCTTGGCATCGCCACCAAGGACAGGGCTGATGACATGGTAGATGGCATCGTCCTCATCCACCTGCTGCACTAGCTCCACGCTCCTATGGGGAGGCCCAGAGGTCAGGACTCGGGCTCCTTGTGTGCCAGCCAGTCTGGCCCAGGCCCTCCCACGCTTCAGCCTTCTTGAGCAGATGTCTGGGGGACACTTTACCCCCTACCCTGCTCAGCAGGGGCCACAGGAGGGCAGGAAGCCCAGGCCAAGCACGCATGAACACACGGGAACACACATAGACACGTACACACGCAAATGCAAACAGACACGGGACCAAAGATAAGCACAAAGGCACGCCTGTGAGCACACACAGACTCACGTAGATACCCACCAATGCATACACAGCCCCACACAGATGTGTGGCAGTTTACTGGGTAGGAGCAGCTGCCGTGTGCCAGGCACTGTTCCAAGTGCTTTCCACGTACTCTCTCATTTAATCCCACAGCAGCAGATGCAATAGGTCCTCTCAGCATCCCCATTGTACAGATCCATAGGCATTAAGGAAGCAGAGCTGGGATGTGCCCAGACTGTCGGGGGCCAGAGCTCTGCCCCTCAGGCCCAGGCACACTGCACATATGTGTCCAGGTACACACACACGGGCTTACACCAATACACACGCACGCACAGAAACACGTATGACCACGTCCGACGCTGCCACCTTCTTCCCTGCTCTCCCACCCACCCTCAGAGGCTGCCTCATGAACAGGGCGCTATGGGCAGGGTGGCGGGAAACAGCTAAGGGCTCCCTTTCCCCTTGGGACACTCCCCCGCTCCAATCCCATCAAGTATGGAGATCTGACTTAGCCTTCAAGGCCCACAGCAGCTTGGCTCCTCCAAGAAGCCTTCCTACCATAGGCCCAACGCCCCCAACATCCACCACCAAATTACCTCCCAGCTTTGTAGAATGTCACTACCAATAGGCTTGGGGTCACCTAGACCAAGGCTTTTTACTTTTTTTTTTTTTAAGATTTTATTCATTTATTTGAGAGACAGACAGCATAAGTGGGGGGAGAGGCAGAGGAAGAGGGAGAAGCAGACTCCTTGCTGAGCAAAGAGCCAGATGGGGGGCTCAATCCCAGGACCCTGGGATCATGACCTGAGCCAAAGGCAGACACTTAACCGACTGAGCCACCCAGGCATTCCCTGACCAAGGCTTTTTAAAGCAATAGCCTTTTACGCACCAAATCTTAAACAGAAAGCCTGTGTAAAAACAACCACAAGTAGGCCCACTCTGGTAAGATAGATGGGGGGTAGGAAGGGGAAGGCAATTTGTCAAAACTCAACTCGCCAGACAACCTGCTCACTGAACTTCCATACACACAGACCCTCCTTATGGATATACTTGGGAATATAGGCTCCTCGTAAAGCAGCCACGGGAGAAATGACCAAAGTAAGGTGTTGGCACAAGAGAAAATGACTTTAAAGGAATTTGAAAAAATACCAGGTTCAACTTTAACATTCTCATATTAAATACTGAAATTTTGGCTTGTTTTCCTAAGAACAGATATAGCTTCCTTGGCTAAATTCAGGAAGAAAATATTCACATGGAGAATCAGTAAATTCGGGGAACAAACGTATTCCTAGGAATAACATTTATATTCAGTAACTCACTACATTCAAAAATAACATATAGACGCACATATCCCTAAGAAGAGCTGGCAAACTGGGTGAATTCATCAAACTGGCCGTCCCATTAGTTCCCTTGAAGCTGGGAGGGGGCCCACCTGCCCCCTCAGCCTTCTAACCCCCACCAAGTGGTCCCTGAGCTTCCTGTGGGGACACAGAACTCCACAGAACATGGTTTGAAAATCACTGATCTAGGGGTGCCTGGGTGGCTCAGTCGGTTAAGCATCTGCCTTTGGCTCGGGTCATGATCCCAGGATCCTGGGATCGAGTCCCACATCAGGCTCCCCGCTCAGTGGGAAGCCTGCTTCTCCCTCTGCCTCTGTCCCTCCCCCCGCTTGTGCTCTCTCTCTCTCTCTCTCTCTCTCTCGCTCTCAAATAAAATAAAAAATTAAAAAAGGGGAAATTTAAAAGAAAAAATAGAAAGGGGAGATTTAAAAGAAAAAAAAGAAAGAAAATCACTGCTCTATCCCAGAGTGCAAATGCATGACCTACACCTCAAGTACCCATTTTAAGAGGAGGAAAACAGGCCTAGAGGGGAAGGGACTTGCCCAAGGTCACAAAGCCAGTTGGGTCAGAAACAGGGCTTTTTTTTTTTTTTTTT